TCGGCCTGTCAATCATAACACCTAATGACCGTGTGCACATGAAGAATAAATTGTTACGGTTAACTGCTATCACATGTTTATGACTTGTTTTGTAATAAACATACCGAGTCCGACATCGCGCTTTGACATTTCCAATAGCACGGACTATCTGCCCACTAGAAGAGCAGACGTCAACTTGATATTTTGTTCTGTATAAACACCAAGTGTACAACAGTGTTACAGTGTGTTGTGCATCGGTTTACAATTTATGATCATTTTACTGCATTGCTATAGTCAACGAGAGAATTCCCCTACTCTCTGATATAATCCAATCCCTACTTCGACCCTGTCCTCGTGGCCACCACCCTCCTCCTTTGTGCAGTGTGTGATTCGAAATGTGATTATCCGGCCGCCTGCAATGCCATGGAAACGCTACTGGTACACCGAGATCACGTCGAATCCGGCTTATTGAAACGGTTATTCACCCAATTGCGTGAGCGTGGGGTACGTTGATGATGATGATGATGATGATGCGGATGATCACGTTCGTGACACTAATGGTTGTTATATTGCTCTCCCAGTAGATCAAAATCAAATGGACCATTCTGGCGTGCAGAGTCAATCCGACGACATTATGAGCATTCCAGTATACAGTATAGTCTCGCTTAAGCCGATGTGTTTTGCGTGACTATAAACTTAAGATATTTTATGGATATGACTCGCTCAAAAGCTCCATCTGATCACAAAATAAGTTTATCACATCATATTGCTCAGAACCCGAGCTGTGGGTGAACATTTATTTCCGTCGATTTGGTTCTGTATCCAAAACAAAGTTATAGGAAAAAGTAACGGAACAGCTTTCTTTTATTACACACCTCAGTGTGGTGAACAACAGACACGTTAGAACGCAATATCCACGAAGACCTGACGTTCAATGATAGAACTCGCTAACACAGCCACGGGACTTAGGGTGATGAAACCAATAGTTTAGGCATGGTACTAAACCGGACGACAGCAGAGCTGCCTACCACCAAAGTCGGGTGTCGATGGCGGGGTTCGAACTATAGAGTCAAAGCATGCCGGAGACTGCTACTTAACCACTGCGCCACCATCACACTTCTGCATGCAAGGGTCTTGGAGACAAAGGTAGAGATGAGGAAAGTGTATGAGATGAAGTTACCTGGAGCAGGTGAAGTGCTGGATTATGCAGTTGTCATACTCAGTATGCATCACCACTAAATGTCGGGGTAACACATTCAGTTATCAATCAGGAGAGTTTCCTTGGTTGACACAATTTTCGCATTCAACTCACACCTAGTCCTGAATGACTATATAGTCATCTCTACCGCTTGGGGGGCAGATTACAAAGACTCGTCATACTTGGTTGGGCTGTTCCTGGCCTCCCCGACCCAAATAAATGCCTTGGTGAAAAACCGAGAAACCTGATCGGTTGTCGATTACGTCGAACGATTGGACTTGCCCATGTTCCATGACCCGTCATACCTACACCAATGAAGATACTGTCGGCATTTTGTTATCGAATCAGTGTGAGCATGCATTCCAGTTGGTTACTGGTCGTAAATTAGATCGACAACAGAAATGTATGCGACTAGTGTTACCTCTTAAGTCTGTGGACAGCTTGAAAATAAATTACCGAGGACAATCGCTTCGCCAATCCGTGTTAGAATACACTTGTAATCTCTGGGGGTGGGGGGGGG